CCAGAGAGCCCAGCCAGCTCCACGCGGACCTCTCAGCTTCAGGAGCAAAGCCTCCCCAGGAACATCGGAATAAGAGGGACTTAGAGACAGCACGTCCCCTCCCCCCACCCCGGGCCGCCCGCTCCAGCTGACTGTCCCCGAGCGGAGTCAGCGACACCTGCTGCTGGGTCAGAGATGCACCTTGGTCTGTCCCCCGAATGCAGGAGCGCCCTTCTTCGGTTAGCGGCGGGCCCGAACTGGGGGGACGCGGGCGCAGGGCTGGAAAGGGCATCTTCTGCTTATGCAGAGTGACTGCGAAGTAAAAGCCGCGAAGGCCACCTTTCCCCTAATGCGGCCGGGCGGGCCTGACAACACTGTCAGCCTGGGTGGCCGAGCTGAGCCCCGCGCGGCACGGCCTCTGCGCCTGCGTCAAGAAGCGCGTCCCGGGGGCCCGCGGGGACGAGGGGCTCGCTCCCAGGCTTGGGCGCAAATAAATCTGCGACGGAAGCCAGGCCGAGGATATCAAATAACATAAAATACGCCCAGCCCCGTGACCTAGGAAGTAGAAAGAAGTTCACTCCTGTGCGCAAATGCAACGTGGTGCGTACGGGGCTGCGCGTCAGTTAGAAGAGCCGTGGGCAGAAGGCAATGCAAAGAGGGGCGGGATGATGGAAAGATGTGGCGCTAAACCACACCATGCATTTCCTGGGAACATAAACATGAACCACGTGAAAATTATTGAGAACACACACACACACAAGTCTCCCCACGTGGCCGCCACCGGCGAGAGGAGAGGCTATCAGGATGGCACGAAGGTCCAACGGGACACGTGCTTTTTAATGATGTTTCACTTTTAAAAAGAATAATGTACTGATAGATGGCGTGCATCCTTTCTTAAAGTGTAAATCTAGGAAAAATGTGACCCAGCACCCTAAGCCCAGCAAGAAAATCTTTCAAAACTGAAAGGATACTTTCTCAGAAACACAAGAACTGAACTTCCTGCCAGCAATTTGCACAGCAAGGAAAGTTACAGGAATATGCCGGACGGAGACGTGGCTCCGCGCAAAGAAATTAAAGAGCTGGAAATGGGGGTGGGGGGAAGGAAGGGAAGCACACAATTATGATTTTCTTAATTTGAATTGCTTTAGAAGGCAACTGATTATGTAAAGCAAAAATACTAGCGATGCACGTGCATTTACGGCATCAGTAAAGGTAAATGTGTGGTAAGACTGGCACAAAGGACGGTGAGAATTATGAAAAGGCCGTTACAATGTCTCAGAGCACACGGGAGTGATACAGTGTCGTTTAAAGGTAGACACAGGCGGGTTACAGATACACGCTCTAAGCCCTAGGGGAACCACTGCAAAAACAAGTTAAAAGGAAGAAGACACGAGAAGTCAACGGCGGAGATAAAGTGGCAACAAAAATACACCCTAAGTCCAAACGAAGTAAGAAAAAGAGAACGTAAGAGAAAAGCGGGAAAAAAAGGATCATAACCTGACCGTCCTGTGACCAAGCGTGAGGCTGGACACCCTGCACCCTGAGGCCCCCACGCCCTCCCCAGTCCCCCCCGCCCTCCCCTCCTCTGCCCCGGGAGCCCCCTGAGCACACCGTACCTGAAGTCCAGGAAGGCGCAGTACAGGAAGACTCTGTTGCTCTCATTGGTGGCCTCGATGTACTGCCTTTGAGTCTGAAATGACAGAGAAGAGAGACGCTTCACCGTCCAGCCGGAGGAGCTGAGTTCCCAGCAATGAAGCACGAGCTGCCCCCTCACGGCCCACCGGACCCTGGGTGGGCGATACGCAAAGCCGTGACTTTCCATCTCAACCCCTGTGGTCAGCCAGCCCTGCCTCACGCCGCACTCCTTTGCCCACAACAGCCCATCAACCAGGGTCCTGCCTCGGGGCCTTGGCACTTGCTGCAGCCTCCCTCTAGAATGCTCCTCCCCGAGGCAACCACAGGGCCCCCCACTCCGGGTCGCTGCTGCAGGTTACTTCCTCCCCGAGACCCTGCCTGCCCATTCAAAACACCACCAACCTGCCCCCTCCCTTAGCTGCATTCTTTGCAGCATCACGTTCCACGCAGCATGATACGCATGCACTTGTTCATCTGCTGACTTCCTCTCCAGAACGTGCACACGGTGAGCCCTCGGCTGTCACCCTCTGCTGTGTCCCCAGTGCCTCGCCTAGTGTGTGGCACACAGCAGGCGCTTACTGAGTATTTATTAAATGAATGGACCAAAGAATGAACGACTGAACAGATCAATCAACAACCCTGTTCCTAGGCTTCTCGCTTTCCCGAGGGAGCAAAAGCCTCATCCTGGGACCTTTCCTGGATGCCAGCTCGGGGCACCAGGCAGCAGCTGGACTGCCCTAAACAGATGCAGAGCTTCCTCCAGGACCCGTTGCCAGGAAGCCCGGGAAGCCGGCGGCTCCAGCAGAAACCAGGGCTGCTCACAGGCGGCTGGACTCCGGGATATGTGGTCGCTAATTGATTCCCAATCAAATGAAAAGCCCCTTATCTGACGGCCCACTGCTCACTCACTCACGGAGCCCCGTGCTAACGCGCAGGTGAGCTCTGCCTTCCCACGGGCAGGACGCGGCTGCAGCTGCATGGACGGGCGCCCCAGATGCCCACCCAGTTTGGATGGCCAAGCTGGGCTGAAAGATAGCGTGTGAGTCAGAAACCGAGAGGGCCACCCTCTCTCCGAGCGCCCACTGGTTCGGGAGGGAGGGGCCTGGTGCTTGGGGAGATGCGTTTACCTGACATCAAACCCTTATAGAAACTCGGGGCGCCCAAGCGACACACCCTCAGGCTCAGGAAAGTCAACAGGAAGAAACCCTAAAAAGGTCAAGCCCTCATTTCTCTCACCCTGTTTTTCTAGCTGTGCCCGAGATGCCCAGCCTGGTCCCCACGCCACCTGGGCCACCCCAGCTGGTGCCCCTTCCCATGTTCAATGCCGAGGAGGGTGCGCGAGTGTGGCCCCCACGGCTGCCCCGGCATCAGCCGGGGACCTGGAGCGGCCATGCCAGGGCCCCACCGCAGAATCACAGACCCTGGGTGTGGGGACAAGCCCTTCGGGGGACGCACATGAACCTGAGAACCACTGAAGGCTAGAAAGGGCTCTCCTCTCCTGTGCCCCCTAACTCTCAGCCTGCCGTGAGCTCCGTGCAGACACACGGAGCCCTGGGTCCTGCAGCCACTTGGCACAGCAGGAGGCCATCAGCGAGGGGAGCTGCAAAGTGCGAAGCCCACCGAGTCGAAGACACAAAGTGCAACCCCCACCTCCTGCAGCACTAGCCCCACGCCCTCCAGGACTGCTCCCTGCGCTGTTTTTTGCTCCCCCCGTCTTGCCCCTCCCCCCTTCCCTCTCCCCACTGGTCCCCACTAGTTTGTTCTCTAGATCTGTGAGTCTGTTTCTTTTTTTTATATTCACTAGTTTGTTGTATTTTTTCAGATTCCACATGTAATTGATATCATGTAGTATTTGTCTTTCTCTGCTGTACTTCTTTTAGTGTAATGCCCTCCAGGTCCATCCATGTTGCTGCTAATGGTAAACTTTCATCCTTTTTATGGCTAAGTAGTATTCCACCGTAAAAAATACACCACAGCTTCTTTCTCCAGTCCTCTGTTGACGGACATGTAGGTGGCTTCCATGTCTTGGCTGTTCTAAATAGTGCTGCTGTGAACATTGGGGTGCATGTAACTTTTCGAATTTCAGTGTTTCTGTTTTTTTTTCAGAAATATGCCCAGAAGTGCGACTGCTGGGTCACATGGTGGTTCTAGTTTTAGTTTTTTGAGAAACCTCCACACTGTTTTTTCCACTGTGGCTTCACAGCTCACACTCCCAGCAGCAGTGCAACAGGGCTCCCTCTTCCCCACACCCTCTCCAGCGTTGGTCATCTGTGTTCTTTCTGATGATGGCCATTCTGACAAATGTGAGGCGACAGCTCATTGTGGTTTTGATTTGCATTTCCCTGATGATGAGTGATGCTGAGCATCTTTTTTATGTACCTGTTGGCCGTCTGCACTTCCTCTTCGGAAAAATGTCTCTTCAGTTCTTTTGCCCACTTTTTCACAGGGTTGTTTGTTTTCTTCATGTTGAGCTGTGTGAGCTGTTTACATATGGTGGATATTAAGCCCTTATAGGTCGTACCATTTGCAGATACCTTCTCCCATTCAGTGGGTTGTCTTTTCATTTTTGTCAGTGGTCTCCTTTGCTGTGCTTCTCAGGTTAATTAGGTCCCAGGTGTTTATGCGCCATTTTCAAACATGGAGGTGCATGTGGGTGATGCTTGTGTCACGTAAGGAAATGTCCAGGCAGCCGGGACTGGAAGGAGCCTGGCCCAGGCTCACACACAGTGTGAGGTCCGGAGGGCTTCCCCGGGGAGACGGTTCACCTTTTTCCCTCACGGCCTCCAACCTGGACCCGGGAACCAGCCCCCGCTCTGAGCGCACGGCAGCATTTCCACCTGGGGGCGCGCAGAGGCGGAGTCCTGCCCCTCTCACTGCAGATCTAAACTGCTCTCCACGGGGAATGGAAAAATCAGGCAGAGCCCCGAGCCCAGCGTGTGTGTGGCCGGCAGGGTGGAGGGCCGGCAGGGCTCCCTGGGGTCTGGCGCCAGGGTCACACCCGAAACAGGAAACTCCTGCCTCCGTCTGAGTTCCTCGAGGCTCCGTTTCTGCGATGGGAAAAGCAGAGCCCCTCCTTCTGGGTGTAGAGTTTGCAGCTGGAATGGAACAAAGGCTCTCAGCACATCTTCAAGAAAGGAGGCCTAGACAGGCCCCGGGAGCACGATTAGGAGGGGAACGGCGGGTGCTGACACGGGGTGTGGTGCCGTCGGAGAGAGGAGCGCGGGGCCACAGCCCACTTTCCCGGAGACGTGGGAGGTGCGCCCGCCCATCTGCCCCCCGAGTGCTGGGGCGAGAGAGGAGAGCTGTTTCAGCCAGCCACCCCGCTGGCCGGGGTCCAGGAGCTGGGTGTCCTCATCAGGCTGGGGAGGGCAGCAGCCACCCGGACCCCTCATGGGTCCTGAGCCCACGGACCCCACAGAGCCCGACCCTCCATCAGACATGTTCGCTGCTGCACATCCGACGGGCAAGGGCCACGTGGGCCCCGGGGAACGTCTCCTGTGGGTTCTGAGACGTCTGCAAACAGCCGGAAGGACTTCCCACGTGGGGAGAAGCAGAGAGGATTAATCAAGTAATCACTGTGACTAGGGCGCAGCAAGGGGTCTCCTGGGGGATGCAGCTCGAGAGCAGACAGTCTCCCGGCAGCAGCCGTGAATGCTCCTCGTCCGGAGACGCGCTTGCTTTTCCTTCCCATGCGGCCGTCCCTCAGTACCCGCGGGGGTTAGACGAGGTCCACCTCGTACAAAGCGGTTCCGTGTTTGCACATAACCGACGAGCTCCCTCCTGGGGACCTCAGGTCGTCTCTGGGTTATTTCCGACACCTAACACAACATAAATGCTCTGTAAACAGTTACCAGGCGCAGCCACTGCAAGTTTTGCTTTTCGGAACTTTCCGGAATTTTTTTCCCAAGTGTTTCCCATCCGCGGTGGGTGGGATCTGTGGAGGCGGGAGCCGCAGGCACGGGGGCTGGCCGCGCACAGCTTCACTTGCACACTAGTTGGAGAGACATTTGCCTAACACTGTTTCCCAAGCAAAACGCGGATGGCACCACGGCCCTTAGCTCTGGCCCCTAGGGACGTGGTCAGAACGCCGACCCCAGAGCCGTGGGCAGGTCCGCGCGCTGTGGGCGGAAGGTCTGGGGCAGCCCTCCCTGCCATGCACCCTCCACTCCGGCCTGGCTCCTGTCACGAGCCGGGGCCCAGGGCTCTGCAGGCTTGAAACGTCCCGCCTTGGGGGGAATCAGGAATAACTAGGTGATGGGGTGGGGGTGGTGGAGAAGACCCTTTAGCCGGCCTCGGTCCCCGGCATCTGCGGATGTTTCTGGGTCTCACAGAGTCCTAGGCGGTCCAGCTCCGTAGAGGCAGCCCCTCCTTGAAGACGACGAGGCAGACCCAGAGCGAGACAGGTGGCTGGAGGGGGTGCCCATGAAGGAGACACCTGAGACTGACCCCCGGGAAGGGGACCCGGGTGGGCTGATGGGCTGGGCCGGCCCGAGTGCCGAGGGCGCAAGGTCAGGCAGGGTGAGAAGCTGGCAGCTTTGACCCTGTGGATCAGGGGCTCTACCCAGCCACCCCACCACCACTCAGCAGCCTCTGCACTGGGCTCTCCCCATCCTGGCTCCCAGGAGAGGCAGGGGTGCCCAGGGTACATTCACCCCAGGCTGCTTCTGGAGCCTCAGTGTGTGGTTAGGTCATCCGAGGACACCCCAAGGGCCCTGACCCCTGGCCCCCATGCCCTCTCCCCTGTCCAAATGATGCCTGAACCCCCACCCCCCCAGCCCTTCCAGGTCCCACCAGCCTATAGAGGCCCCTCTGGGCTGGAGTCTGTCTGTCCTGTCTGTGGACAGACACGTCCTGACCACACATGCACAGATGGCCCGGGAGGGGCTGACACGTCCTCACCCTCAGCTGACGGCCGGGCCTCAGACCCAGACGGGCCCCAACCTCCCGACCTGTCTCTCCCCTCCACGCGCAGCTGAGGGTGGCGGAGACACCGCAGGGATGTGTCAGCCCCCGGCCACCGGGACCAGGCT